GGGGGGGGGGGGGGGCACACTAGAGAGGTTTCCACTTTCCATATTAGAGAGGTGCCCATAATAGGTGCCCATATTAGAGAAGTGCCCACATTAGAGAAGTGCCCACATTAGAGGGGGTGCTCACATTAGAGGGGGTGTCCACACTAGAGAAGTTTCCATATTAGAGAGGTGCTCATATTAGAGAGGTGCCCATATTATAGAGGTTTTCATAGTAGAGAGGTTTTCATATTAGAGAGGTTCCCACATTAGAGAGATGCCCACATTAGAGAGATGCCCACATTAGAGAGGTATCGATATAAGAGAGATGCCTACATTAGAGAGGTATCCACATTAGAGAAGTGCCCACATTGGAGAGATGTCCACATTAGAGAGATGCCCGTATTAGAGAGGTTCCCACATTGGAGAGATGTCCACATTAGAGAGATGCTTACATTAGAGAGGTGTCTACATTAGAGAGTTGCCTACATTAGAGAGATGCCTACATTAGAGAGATGCCTACATTAGAGAGATGCCTACATTAGAGAGGTGTCTGTATTAGAGAGGTTTTCATATTGAGAGGTGCCCACATTAGAAAAGTGCCCACATTAGTATCAGAGAGGTGCTCATTAAAGAGGTGTGTCTATATTAGAGAGGTGCCCACATTAGAGAAGTGCCTACATTGAACAGGGGTGCCCACATTAGAGAGGTTTCCATATTGGGGAAGTGCCCACATTAGAGAGATGCCCACATTAGAGTGGTGTCTATATAAGAGAGATGTCCACGCTAGAGAGATGTCCACATTAGAGAGATGTCCACATTAAGGAGATGTCCATATCAGAGAGGTGTCTGTATTAGAGAGGATTTCATATTGAGAGGTTCCCACATTAGAGAAGTGCCCACATTAGTATCAGAGAGGTGCTCATTAAAGAGGTGTGTCTATATTAGAGAGGTGCCCACTAAAGAGGTGTGTCCATATTAGAGAGGTGTTGGTATTAGGGAAGTGTGCATAATAGAGGTGTCTCTATTGGAGAGGTGTCTGCATTTGAGAGATGTCTATATTAACCCATTGAGCACCAGCACTCTCCGCTTGACAAGTAAAATTGACTGGTGCAAGACAGAGTAAAACGATATGGTGTGGGTTTGACTACACTTTTAATGAAGGAACTGTAGATACATCTGAGCACTAGGCACATCTTGCAATTAAATCTATACGTAGGCAGGGCCTCTATTGATAACAGATTTTATTTGTAATTTCGAAAAGAGCTTCCCTGTTTAAATAAGATTTTATCTTATCTTATCTTAGATCCGACCTAATGGTGAAAAAATTACGGTTCTATGCAAGATTTATAGTTGTCACTCTTCTTTTAAATAAAATGGATTTTGTGAAGGAATTAATTAAGGTAGGATTGCACAGGGTGTTGCCTGTTAAGGTGGCACAATAGTTAGTGATAAAATTTTACTTTAGTTGCACGCAAGGAGAATGTTTAACTCTTGCTCAATACCAGGTTTTTTCCAGGAACTCTATTTTTCTCTTGCAAATAACATTCAGTGTGAATTATAACAGTCAGAAATCAGCTATTTGCTGAACAAAAACATATGGCCAATTAATTTTATTCCATACAAACATACAGCTAGATAAAATACTCAGTATTCATTTTAATTAAGTACTGTTCAAAATGCATGAAAAAAAAACACAAAACATATTCTTGGCTTTGCTGTGACAGGCAACAAAAGTTTACATTACTAAATTTATGTACCAGACATGCAGATTATTCGAGAAAAAAATATATAGGGACCAAGGAATTCTTGGTTGCATTGATCTTTGGGATTGCCTACCAAAAGTTATAAGTATGATAGGTCATACGGGAAGTGATCAGCAGGACAAATCGATGTATATATATTGAAAAGCTGGCTGACCATTATTACCCAATGTCCAAGAAACTGCACATGTATTTGAGTACCCCAGACATTTGTCAAACCCAAGCAAAATTGTTTTATTAATTCCACACTGGTAACAATTAAATGGTCCTTGCTTAAGAGAGGTGCTTAGATAGAAGTATTCAGTACAAAAAAGCTAGTTTATTGTCTGTGTCATGTACTATTTGCTAGGAATTGAGACAATATATAGATGAATATACAATGGTGTATGATCCAACAGACGAAGGTGATTGGAGACTGGTGGTGAATGAAGTGACCGCATTTATTGATGTAAGTTTTCAACTCATATAAACGAATGAAAATTTCACAACTTGTCAACAAGATAGCATTGCTTCCTGTCTTAGAAGTTGTAACTCAATTGATCATCAATATCCAAATAGCTCAGCAGTTGAGAGTGGTTTAAAGGTTAAAGTAGAGACCCAGACTGAGATTTTATTTTGCTCGGGAAATATTTTTTCTTTGAGAAAAATGTTGGATATTTTCACAGAAAATGTACGGCAGACCAAGGATTCATGCAGTCAGAAAGTGTTTTTGTCAAATAGGAAGATGAGAAATCTGCTTGGTTCTTGGTTCACAAGGGCATTTTGTGCAGATTTTCCAGAAATTATTTGCTGGTTTTTTACCATTTTGTGCAGATTTCCATAATTGCAAGAATTTTTGCACCTTTGCACTGGAAATTAATTTCCCCCAAAACTAAAACTTTACAGTCTGGGGTCAGAGACATTGTGTTTGATTCCCAGTTGGGACAGCCAGAAATTCGTTTTCCACAAGTGAGGTATCTACATTTCAATACCTCAAGTCAGAATAGTTTTTGAATACCATTATTTTTAATATCAACAAGATGTGCTTTTTTCATATTTTTTCATATTTTAGTAAGCCGCCATTTTGTTCTCTCATTCTCTGCAATTTTGTACTATTTTTAAATTGACTTTCTTATTTCCATCAAAAATGACAGAATATTACGTAGAATCTTTAAAAATTATTCTGAGATTATTAAACTCCAATATTCCAATTCTATGAAAACTTCATTACATATAAAAATTGAAATAAGCTTTTTTATAGTATTTTAATATCTAAAACAACTTAATAATTATCTAGGTTGAAAAGAAATATACTTACTAACTGTTTCATGTTCTTTCATATAGACAAGGCCACAAGTGACACAGTGAAGAAATGAACTTCTCTTTTCAAAAATTTAATTTCCAGCGGAACACTTTCAGTTTCTTTTCCATTTCGTTTTAAACTTTTACAAAGAAAATGTTGAAACAAATGATACTGATAATAAATTTACTTTTATATAATGACTTTATGGTGCTTCTTTACAACATAATTTCATCTTTTTTATCGTTTTAAATTTGCACTTTTCAGTTGAGTTTCTTGTCCACCATTTTGAACTCTGCTTGTGCAAATCAGGCACAGGCACACTGCCTTGGGCGTTAAAACCTGCAATCAGGAACGCAAATAATTAATTTATTCTCTTTTTTTCATTGTACTTTTATCTAGTCCGAATCTTTGGTGACGGTTATGAACGCAGACGTTACACCGCGCATCTTATCACATCGCTTGAATTCCGAGGTACAGAAATGCTTTACTTTTCGCGATTATCATGAAACTTAAAAGAACGATCTGACGTTTTCTTTTGCCACTGGTTTAACTGAAGATTATCGCGAGAACCGCAGACTGAATGCGATTTTCACAAAATTTCGTATTGATAGTGTTTCGTCGCTTGGCGTAAGAAATACAACGTCTGCGAGCAGGCTAGATTGTTAGGAGCGCAAATATCTAAACAATACAAGGAGAACTACTTCGACGTTTTGAGCGCTTTGGCGGCCGCCCCCTCGCCCCCTCCCCCCAAGATTTCTGCCACTGTGCGACAGTTTTAGACAGCAGTTGTGTAGTGTGAATCGGCCTAATTATCAATCCGAAGTGATTTTGACAACCACATTAAAAATCGCTTGCGCACAAAATCGGCAAGTTAAAACATGATTTGAATATCAAATACAGTTGAAACACAGTAACTTATCGGAGTGACTAAATTCCTCGACAGCTGAAACACAGCTCTATAATTCCAGAGACCTCGAGAAGAGAACGAACGACCTTCGTTATCTTTGCAAGAGATAGTGATAGTTGGCAACAGTGAAAAACAAGTGAAGTTTAGTGAACTAACGTTGGATATGTTTCGTATGCTACAAGCTCTGGAAAGAGAGCCTGAAGAATATCAACCGTACATTTTGGAGAATTCTGCTGATTTCACTGGCGATCAGGTAATGATGGATGAAAATGTTACACACTGAGTCAATTCCCTCAAACATTTCTTACAGTCCTTCAAAACTTAGAATTTACCTATCCAGAATTCCTACTGTGATCACAGAAACTTTGATAGTAGAGAGGTTAAGATACCCCGGTTCCGGTTTACGGGTACGGGTGATATACACGTACCCGTAAACCGGGGAACGACTTGTAACTTAAGAAATCCAAGATATTCCGGCGTGAGTTAACCTATCTGAGAATGGCAACTTTCGCTGTTGAGGTTCGCCATAGATTGTTGAAACCTTTGACAAGCATAAGTGCATTATTTATTTGGGTAAGATGCTGAAAATTTTTACTATTTAAACGGCCCACAAATAGTAAACAGAAAACACCCGTACCCGTTTGTCTTTTACGTGTATAGACCATGGTTTACCGCGGGGAAACGGGTAGAAATTACGGGTACAAATGCTGACATCAGCAAAAATTGGTAAACAAAATGGCGATACTCGTACCCGTAGACCGGAACTGGGCTATCTTAACCTCTCTAATGTTAAAATTAAACCAGTCGTTACTGGACAGTTTATAGAACTGATAGAGCTATCAGGTATAAATAAAGACAGGTTTACACTATCAAAGTTTCTATGATCAAAGTAGGAATTTTGCATAGGTATAAATTCTATGTTTTGAAGAATTTGTAAGAAATGTTTGAGGGAACTGGCTGTTATTGAACACTGAATCAGTTTCTTCAAACTTTTCCTACACATCCTTCAAAACTTAGAATCTACCTGTGCTATTAAATTTCTGCTGTGATCACAGAAACTTTCATAGTGTAAACCAGGCTTAATGTTAGGTTACTTTAAAGTTAGGTTACTGGAAAAATAAGGCATCCTTATTGGACCTCTAGGTATTTAGAACAATACGGTTATTCCGCTGCTGCAAAAGTCGAAGTTAATCACTAATCAGTTAATTATTTATTAGTTAATTTCATTAATTAACAAAGATCGAGTTCTATATACGCCCATTGTTAACTTTCCCTTCTTGGATAGATGAAGAAGGAAACAGCACCGTCCAAAAAACCAAATCCTCACAAATATTTGCTGTATAAACCGACATTTAGTCAACTTTTCACTTTCCTTGCTTCAGGATTTAAGGTGAGAAGATGAATGCTCAGCTTATAGCGGGCTCAATTGGCAGGCCATATGTCGAAATTTTTTAATTGTGCATGAGCGGTAGAACAGATTTATTCGACGACGAAATATTTATCTGTAGTATAGTTTCTCCACCCTTAGTATATTTTGTGCCCCTTCTAAACTATCCTATACTGAATCTGAAATTAGGGTAGGTGCATGCTCTAACTCTATTCTCTTTGAATTTGTACTCGCTTTTTAATCTCTAATCTTCCAGGAACTGCCACATAATGCTGTAATGTTGATTTATCTATCAGCAGACGGTCACGGAGTGGAAAACAAACACGTCGATGGTAAGACACTGAAATAGCTACCAATACCGTCGGAAGTGAATTTTTTATCAGGCAGCTTCATGCACCTTCGGAAAAAATTGCATTTTCGAAGCCTCGGAAGTGCATTTTCCGTGTTTCCCGCGAGAGGACTTTTTATCAGTGAAGTAATTCAAGATTTTGTAATGCACTTTACAACCTCATCTCCCAGTTTTGATAACATTCGCTGAATTTCGCTCTATGTATACGCAATGTCAACGTAACAACAAATTAGTATTACAGATGAGTGGACTGTAATTAGCTCTGCATCAAATACATACGCCCGTATTCTAAAAGCTCACTCACACTCACACTCAATGAGTGGAAGTTCAATATGAGCTTCTCTCCAGTGTCATTGCTGTTTTTGAATAGTTGGAGGGCTAGTGTCATACATTACTATATGACTACTCACCCTCCACTACCTCCAGCTATTCAAAAACAGCATTGACACTCAAGAGAAGCTCAGATTGAACCTTCACTCATTGAGTGTGAGTGAGCTTTTAGAATACGGGCGATAAAGTTTGAAAAAGAAGCACAATGCTGGATGAGAAAATTATTGAGTTGTCCTAGCTCCGCTAATCCCGCTATAGCCCTACAGCTCAGTTCTAGCTATACACTATAGTTATAGCCAGGGCTGTTCATACGGAGGATGATTCGCTTAACAAAGCTCTCCTTATTACGGCTTTGATAAACATACAAAACTGACATTTCAAACTTTGATTCCAGTAACAATATAAAATTCATTGAAACGATCTTTTATGATCAGGAAAAAATCTTCGTGACACGAACAGCCCCTAAGAACTGCAAAATAAATTTCATCATGCCTATCCATAGGTCCATATGGCCAAGGTGGTGTACGAATGTCAGCTCACAAAGGTTTACAAAACACTGGCAGCACGACGCGAATAATGCAAAGTAATGTGAATGATACGAACATGTAAGTGGATGCAATAAAAGCTGTTTAACATATCCTGCATTACTCAAGGAAAATACAAACCAAGCATGCATGTGTCAAATACATTTTTGTTGCATGCCATATACAGCTATTTCAATTAAGGTTGTCCACGAGCAAAGCGGAAAAGCGAGTCGAATACGAGCGCGAAAGGCTGCTGGGAATCGCTAAAAGATTAATGAATTTTCATAGCGATTCCCAGCAGCCTTTCGCGCTCGTATTCGACTTTTCCGCTTTGCTCGTGGACAACCTTAATTGAAATAGCTGTATACCTTGTTATTACGGTCGGTCATAAAAACATCGCCTATTCGCGTGAGAATGTTAAGTTTTCTTATTTTGACATAATAGCTATTTTTCTATAAATATATTGATGTTAAACTTATTGAATCAATATCATACTGGCCTGAAACAAGTTTCAGGCCAGTTGTACCAGAAGTTATACGCGCTAACGCATCATAAGGTTTCAGGTAGCATGCAACATGTACGCACTGCGTACCTATTTTTATACAATTTCAGAATATATCCAGACGATTTGATGCCATTTACAAGAAAAGCTATGATGCTTATTGTGGACAGCGAAACAAGCACTGCATTTCAGGTGAGATCATGAGTGTCTTTATAGTTGCTGTAAATGGCCGACAACTGTCTAGTCATAATAAAACTAACACGAGCATATTAACACATTACATTTAGTCGCTGTCTAGTGGTTTTGGTCAATCTGTGGTTATTTTGATGTCCCCGTGTAAAGTACCACACACACTTCAAGGTAAAGTGTGCACTGTCGATAAATGAACACAAGGGGCGAACCACACACACACCCTACCCTAACCCCCGCCCATTATTTACGGTTGCAAGTGGTTGGTACTCAACAATGATTTTTCAAAAATGACAGCCTTCAATGAAATGAACATTTCTTACTCGGATATCTGCTGCAGAATTTTGCTTTATGAAACCCAGGGGGGGGGGGGAGAGTTGACGAAACCCACTCCCTTGAGCATTACAATACACCCTTTCGATAATTACGTCATTTGGCCTGGGCGCCTCGCTGTCATGAATCGTGAGCCAATCACCTTGCGTAATCTACTGATGAGAGCGAGGCTCCAAGACCAAAAAGTATGTGTGACGTAATTATCGAAAGGGTGTATTAAAATGCTTATCGTTCAATTCTTTGCTAGATGCAATACGTAAAGGGAATCTATTCACGCTATTTCTACACAACCCATTGGTGGCATTTCTGTATATATGCAATATCGCTAACGTCCAGGTTGAACTATGGGAACAATGTTGCCAACAGCTGCGAGGATTCGAGGGAGACTGGACCAGGCTTTTCACGAAGTTGTCAAAAGTCATTGGTAAGATGATAATTCTTTTCTTGGATGCGAAATTATAAGTGAAATTATAATCACATGCACGTACTGCATCTTGTATGAATCAAATCTCGATTCACACTTCCCTAAATAATCATGTCAGTTTAAAATATTGCTTCCAATCATTCGTTTTACAGACGTGTCATATATTCAAATGATAGATGACGAATTTCTTTCATTGATGATTCGAAGGTTCATATTTTGTTACTATGTAACGAGACAACACAAGGCTTTTAAGGTAGGTCTACTGCAGCTAAATAAACCGCCAACATCTGCGAGTCTGTTACCCCCATTAACCTTGTAACATGATGATAACAACTTGTTCCAGCCTTGTCAACAACTGGGAACAAGGTCAACAAGCAGTATGAACACATTTTGTTGACAAGCTGCGAGAATAAGTAGAATAGCTATACCCTAACATGCACATATTGCAACCGTGATTTTAACAGTTCGAAATTGATAATATTCCCTTCTTACCTAGGGCATGGAATATTTCCCTAGTTGCTCTCCAAGTTTACCCCCTCAAATCATGGAGAACGATGACTTACGTAAACGTGTGCTTACTCTGGCGTCTACGTTGGACGTGCGAGGATTGTTTTATGAACTGGAAGACATCCCATCTGTCAGTGTAACGATGTGAGGCCTAACCACCGTCAGGATTCGTTCAGTGTCAATGTGTATAATAAGAGTGTAAATAATATTGGTTAATGTATGAGTCAAACGACGTGTAGTCTAATGACTGTTACTTAAGGTAATTCCGCAGTTTTGCGTTGCGCACATCTTATAACTTATAATTCCATCCATTATACGTACCGTTTAAAAAAAAATCATTTTATGACAATTTTATGTTACTTCAAAGCATCTTTGGTTACATTCGTGCAAAGAATTACGTTAAAATCAATGTTTTCAAAAAAGGCATACAAAAGTGTAGCTAGGGTTCCCTGTGTCTGTAGTATATTTATTTACTTGTATTTCACGTTTTAATGCCACAATTCCCTAAAAAGATCGGTGACCCCCGTTTTTTAACTGATAATTTATTTCTTTAATGCATTTTACATTTCATATCCGAAATTAAAAGAAAAATCATTTCTGGATCTTGAAAAAAATCCTTTATCAATGCATGTTCTCAAAGAAAGATATGTAAAGAAATGTGGAAAAGACATTTGTGGATCAGAATTGTACACGTTAGTAGTTTCATTTTGCTCAAAACACAATATTTTTCAAAAATAATTACAAGATAGGTTTACTAAAGCAAAATCCGCGCTAAAAACGTCAATAAATATCGGACTGTTGTGATTTTGCTGTTACTCGTAATGAGCGTCAAGATAGCGCCATATTGGGGGTAAAGGTGGTATATTGTGATTGTCATATCTTCTTAACGAGTTCGGTGACCCCGACTTTTTTTAAGTATATCATAAACTCCATGCCTGGGAATTTTCAGCACATTCTCATTTCGGGAACAATTACTGTGGAATTACCTTGAAGTTTCGGTATGACAGCCAATGGTAGCGCTAGTGACAGCAAAGAAATCGTCGAATTTGTCATTTGATCACATCGACAATACTATCCCCATGTAATTTTTTCAATCGGGAAGGAAAGTTATCCAGGTATCCTGCTATGCACGGCTGTTTTGTTGATTCCAATTATCGTTAAGAATAATGGATTCTCCAAAACACAAAAAATAATCGATTAATTGATCAATCCGGAGCAGCTCCAGATGTTTGATGTTTGTCTGAGTGTGCATCCACGCCAGGCAAGCTGAAAAGTTTTGTCTGACCACGGTGGGAGTCGGACCCTCGACCTTTGAGATACTAGTCCAATGCTCTACCAACTGAGCTACGAGGTCAAGTCGGTTCGAGCGGTGATATTTCGGAACTGAGTCTAGTATCCTAAAGGTCGCGGGTTCCATTCCCACCGTGGTCAGGCAACTTTTCAGTTTGCCCTGTGGCTGTGTGGATGCACACTCGGGTTCACTCAGAGAGTCAGAGTAACATCACAAACATATTTACTTGAGTACATAACACCTGACATAACACCAACACACAAAAAAGCTCTAGATGTATTAAAATACTCTAATGGTACAAACAAAATACAGCTATACTCGGCGCTCGTAAATCGTAATGATGATATGCCAGGTGAAAATTGTTAACACGGAATGCGGGATTTTTAAAAATAGTCGAGGGACCACGTGCAGTACAGACTGTAAGTATAGATTATAAAAGATTGTATAATAATAATAATAATAATAATAATGACTTTATTGCAGAATCCATAAAAATCGGTGGCGATCAAATCCAGAAGTGTTGGCATCGTCTTATCACACGTTTTGGTATATACCACGAATTGCAATATATACATACCGCGTTTTTAATATATACGGTATTCTGTACTACTATAATTTTTAATAAAAGTAGAAATTGTAGTATCTCTATGCACGCATGACTGAAAAAGGAACATTTACACAAATCAGTATATGTTACAAGAAACGGTATTAAGTTAACATTTTTCTGCGCTGGAATATAATTATTATTATGCAAGTAGAGGTTACTAGTAAGTAAAATAAAAAGTGAAAAGTAACAAAAATAATTAACTCTGCTATCGTACGGAGTATACTCTGAACTTCAGTCATGCTAATGCATGACACATTCCTAGCGTATTGATTTCGATTCGCATTTTATTGGTCTGGAATGTTTGAGCGTAGATTATCTACATAGCATTCACTTTACCACATTGCAAGCCTTTCTCGTGAAAATAACCACCCCGCTTCCACACTGCCTGTAACGTTTTTGTGAACCAAAACACTCGTATACAGCCATTTCAATTAAGATTTAAGGTTGTCCCCCGAGCAAAGCGGAAAAGTCGAATACGAGCGCGAAATGCTGCTGGGAATCGCTAATAAATGAAAGCGGAAAAGTCGAATACGAGCGCGAAAGGCTGCTGGGAATCGCTAATAAATTAATGCATTTATTATCCCAGCAGCCTTTCGCGCTCGTATTCGACTTTTCCGCTTTGCTTGGGGGACAACCTTAATTGAAATAGCTGTATATCTATTGTAGCACATACTGACAAGCACCACATTCGTACACATGCATCTTTGCCATGCAGAACTTCTGTAGGAAGTTAGCAGACCAAAGTAGGAAATTTTAATATTTATTAAGTTTTCCACCTGCTATCTCTATTGTCTTTTATTGGTCGCTGGAATTTTAGAACGTCAGTCATACTGAGCTTTTGATTTATAAACTTTTTTAATCAACAGAAATGTGGGCAATGGAAAGTAATGAAAGTTGCAGCTGTTATTATTTTACTGATATTAAATTTAATGATATTTAAAGATATTTAATGAGTTTAAATAAAAAAAACTGACATCGAGTTGCAGTTTACTGTCGATGCAATGAAAGTGTTGATAAAATATTGCACCCATTGACCAACAGGAAACGCGCAGGAAGTAAAAAGAAATTTGAATTCGTATGAATTGATCAACTTGAGGTAATGAATTCATGCAATATTTTATCAACATTTCCATTGCATCGACAGTAAAGCCTAAAGCCAGTAAAGCCCTTTGCCGCCTGCGCTCCTTCGCCCAGCGGCTACGCTCGTGTTTCAAGATCCGCCATGTAAAGTGTAGTGAAATGTATCTCATCGTAATATTAAATCCTAAGAAAACTAAAGCCTCTGCGGAGGAGAGAGCAGTAAAGGTGAAATTGCAACAAAAGCAAATTTTAACGTTATATGTTTGTGGTAGAATGTGGTACGCTGCATTGACTACATTGATCGGTCACCTTAACTCTTATCCCTCACCCATCAAGCATCTCACCATATGAAAAAATTTGTTCGCGCAAAGTGACTTCGTCGGTATCGCTTCTTCATGCATGGTGACATGTATGCGAGTCGCTTCCCATCAACAGGCTTTACTTGAATGATTTACTTCAAATAGGCCATTTAAAGCTTGTGAATTGTGGAATTGAACACGGATTGACTGAAGGAACTGCGAAGTTCCATCGTTTTATTGTTTCCATCGTATGCGCCACCTTTCCAAGATCTGGCGCCAGGTTTATTCTTTGAAAATAGATCAGTTTTGTAAAGAACGATGTTTTCATCTGGTCGAAAAGGATACAGTATTTTTCATTTTAATATTTACCATTCGCATCCAAGTTTCAATAGTCAGTATTGCAGGACGACGACTGGACGAAAAGTAAATTATGGGAAATAGGGTGAATATATGTAACCAGTCACTGAAAAGCCATGATAGGGAGTGTGCTGTGCAATATCTGTATCTAAAGTAACAAATTACTTCGCGTTGCTTACAGAATTTCGATTTCATGTCTTCATTGTGGTCTTGACTTGTGTTGTTGGCAATGTAATATATCGCTGTAGTCTTTGTTATTAAATTCATAGCCCAAGTCCTGTGTCGAGATTCTTGAACAGTTTGATTACGACAGAAACTTGAAGGATGGTGAATACAGAATACTTTTGGATACAGCAGAAAGTATTGAAAGTATATTGCGACATGGAAACAGATGAAGGCAAGAAAATCAAGAGAAAACAACAAGGTGAAATTTTCATTTCTCTTTTCCTCGATATAATTTTTGCTGTACGTCCAAAGAATTATTCTTACATAACTGTTTGAAAATGAAACAAGTCCATTTTTCCTCAGGAACCGTTACATTATTAATTAACACAGGGGGGGGGGGGGACGCAAGATTTTTTCGTGTTGTTTAGGGGAAGAGCGTGCAGTCGATAATCTGATAGAAAACTTAATTTTAGTAGTCAGTTTAAATGATCATATAGATCAATATCGATTTCGGTACAAGTCCGATTTCCTGGTGAAGAAGCCCCCTAGCAATACGTGCGCATGCCAATGCTCAGTCAATAATATTGCTGAGTATACTAATACCTTAGTTAAATGCAAATTCTCAATCCACCTGTCGTTTTATATCAATTGAATTATATCTGTCTTACTTATTAACGCATATAGTAGTTTTAATATACAAGTAAATGTCAGTATTTTTTGCATCTAATGTTGAAGGATTTTGTAGATGGATATTTCAAGTGTAAACTTTACACATCTATTCGAAATTTGCACCTACAAAATCCTATCTCAAACCTGATAGAGTAGTTTATAGTACAGGTCGCTATGGTTTTGGGCATAAATAGAAATCCGTATGCTCACCTTCTTCACTATTCTAAAACCCCAATTCTCACACTGATTATTATTACGTTCCTTATAACTGGAAAGCGATCCGCAAATATGCTATACAGGCAAGCTAGCTCTCGCTGCCGGTGCCCTTCATTACTGCACAAATTGATAAATTACCGAAATCATGTGGCTCCTTTTACCCTTTGCCTGAAGATAATTCAATGTTGAGTCCAAACTGTTGAAACTGGAAAAGGGGATGTTGGTCAGTAAGTTCGGTAGATCAAATAAAATCAGAGTTTTGTCTGGTGAATGACGTCACATTTATTCTGGGCATGCACCACTGGGTATCTATGGGATCTCGTTGGCAATGTGATGATTATTTCCAAGCACGTGGTACAGCATTTTCAACTGGCGACTTCTGGAAAATTTTTGTTCGCTAGGTTATACTTATTCTGATATCGAACACCCGAAGTATTTGCTTTTCTTTTATGCATAGGCTCTATCATGAGATCTATCAGTACTATTAAACTGTTGTACTTGTCTTGAAAGTCCATTTGGGGATATTCCTTATTTTTCCAGTGCTACTACAGCAGGAAACCAGAGTACCTGAAAATAAACTGTGGAGTTTGGAAGAGTATCATATATGTTAAAACTGATTTTATCCTGATTTCGAATTGCAAATCGTATCAAACCGAAATTCAAATTCTAACTGTCCAACTGAAATCCCAATCTTGCTATATATCTTTTCAATTAACGTTACTAAATACTACAGTTCAATGTGAAAATAAGAATCACAACTAGGATGAAAAAAGTAAGAAAAAGGATAAAGGTTGTGGTGGCTACGGTAGTATGTTTTAGAAGTTATTTTGTCTAATTAAATGCTCAAACCTACTTTTAATTAAAATTAGATAGAGCTTGCTTATGAGTTATGAAATAATTCGGCACTATATGACTAAAAACGTCAGAAGTAGGATCATATATATTAATTTATAATATATGCTTTATGACGTTTAATTGAAGTAAATTTCTGTAATCAACTGTTATTAAAAAATCTTTACTATTATTAATTTTTGCAGCAAATGTACACAAACAACTTCTACATACATCAATGACAATGTACTTAATACGAACATATCTTTGTGACATTTATCATTTTATGCACGTACGGTCGTTTAAAAATTAATTAAGCGACGTTATGTTTCATTTTCCGTTAACTGCTTCAGCTATCTTTATTTTTACCGCCATACATCTTTCGAAAGCAGGCGAACATTATGAAGAACAATCTTTTCATTTTGTTGGAAAAGGTATGTCGTCTAGTACGTGTAGACTGTACAACTATACTTGAGAATGCCGCTTGCTTCCGCTTGCATATATTTGATACAAAAGCGAACATTTTCTCTCGAATTTATCTGATAGCCTGAAGAATTAAATGCTTTGAAATATTCTGTTAAACGTATACAGCTAATTCAAAAAAGGTTGTCCTTTGCTTTGTACTCTAAACCTTGAACCTTAAACTGTAAGCGCGCAAAGCTTAATGGGAGCACGAGTTTCAAGCTTTAGTAGTTGAATATATATTGCAGCTATTTGTGAATGAACTATTCTCGTGAGGAGATATTTACCATCTGATGTCTCTATAAAGAAATTGGCCCATATATGATTTCTAAATTGAATCAGATTAAATGATGCTCCATTATGCTTTACACGCTTGGAGTTTAAGGTTTAATAATTAAGGTTTATTAAGGTTTAGAGTGGTTTGCAAAGACAACCTTTTTACACAGCATTTTTTCAATTTAACTGAGAACCTGAATCCGTGAAAATATACATGGGAATCATGAGCTTTTAAAATACGTTTAATTATATGTTACTAATTTCATTATATGTTACCTAAATCTAAAAGTTCTTAATTTAGATATAGATATTAATGCTTGGATATGTTTAGTTACATAGTCATAGAGCTAAACATTTGTGTTTTGCTTCACACAGGTCTCTCTTTAAGCAGAGTAATTGCAAGACATACAACCGAGTCCTGGTTAGGTTGTGGTCAGCGTTGTATTCGTGAGAGATCATGCGTAGGATTTAACTTTAACGACCGTTTGATGAATAAGACAGACAGACAGAACTGTGAATTAACTGATGAACGTGAAAGACCTGAACCTAATACGAGTAAACAACTAAACAAGGATTCAAATTGGAAATACTATCAAGGATTTGAAAGAGACTTTGTTGAGAGTAAAATTGTGAGTGCGTTTGTAAGCATGCATGCATGCATGCAAGCTTTCATTCTCTGCGACTGGATCTCAAACTCATCGTTGAGCTCTTTCCCAATGGCAATGCACGTTTCACGCAAAGAAGAGTAAATTTACAATTTGACTGTAACAATTGCAGAAGGTCTCACAACCATTAATTAAGTTGCCTCCTATATAGTTATAACGATCAAATGACAGATGACCATGTTCTTGAGAATTGTTAAATTGAACCACCTCAGGCTTAACCGCCGTGTTTATATTTGCATGACAAAATTACGAATTTTATTCACCCATGCTATCCATAACGCACTGTATAGTTCTTTCACTTGAAAGTTCGTTCCGAACTTGCCAATTACGTTTCCAAGAAATACAAACCTTCTCGGTAGCCCACTGGAGCAAGAAATTTCCATTGTATTGTTAATTTCAACTTGAACTATGAACATTTGTTTACAATAATTCAAACACTGAAATGTACTTCCAAACTTTGTTGCGAAGTTCACGCCCAATTTTTGAACTTGGAAACGTAATTGGCAAGTTTGCAACGGTTGAAAAGTGATTTGAAATTGAAATCGACAATAATTCTTAACACTCACTGCGTTCATTTCCAAATATTTATATCGGAATTTTATTCGATGAAGCTCCTAAAATTGTGAAAAGAAAAGAAAAGAAAACGTTAGCACGTCTGTTGAACCGCCATGTTGAATATAATTTGCTCCCAACCCCACTCCTGATTTATTATTGTACTTTGTACTGGAGAACTGGAGTACAATCAATAAAATAATTGTTCTCCTCTCAGCCAAGCAAAATTCAGTGATTTTGTCATGCAAATTGCAAATAATAAATTTAAAAACATTACTTATAATAAATTCAGAAAACCTGTTTTTCATGCCATCATATAATCATCATTTTCCGCCTTTAATTACCTGACATGGTACCGATATAATTCAGAAATTAATAATCGTCAAATTTTAACAACTATATAAATAATTCAAATAGACGGGTATTCTTTGTAAAATAAGATTTCTTCATGGTAATCAAAGTTATAATGCTTGACAATGCTGTTTTTTCTGTAAATTCACAGCTGGGAAGTTATGCTCTACCAGGAAAATCGTGCGCGGACATTTTACAAAACGTTGGGGATACGAAAAACTTGCCAAATGGTGAATATTGGATCAAAGTTGATACGGCAGGACCAATGAAGGTATACTGCGACATGAAAACAAAAAAAGGTAGGTTAAACACGATATTACACAACATAATTCCTTTCCATATTTTGTAATTAAGTAAATACAATACAATTACGAACAGCTGACTTGTAGTTGCCTAGAGACGTTTACCTGTTTGCTCACCCTTTGAAACATTTTGCGAAAACACTAGTTTCTCAAGAGTGTGCTCTTTGTCGAGAAAAAGTATTTTCTGGTTATCTCACCTTCCCAGGAAACAGTTTTTAACAAGGTTTCCTAACCACGAGTAATTTCCCAATCCTGAATTATGCTATGTTTAGTCCAATCCTTTCTTGTTTACATAGAAGAAGAATAGGCACTAATACGTCAATACTATGATACTTATTTAACATATCGCCATATCGGTACACTGTTCTCGCTCTTTTGTTCAGGAGGCTGGACCCTAGTGTACAACCTTGTTCTTCAAACTTCGAACCCTTTTTCTTTTGCTTTGGAAAAGAACTGGAAATCGATCAGCAACTATACTACAGGCAAACTTGTTCTCACTGCTGATGCTCTTGGAGATTTGATGAGAAAAATGCCATTCCAGCAACTAAGATTTCATTGTTTCAAGAAAAACCCAGGACGAACCTTTCATGTTGTTACAAATAAAAACACACTGGGTCGTAACGTTGTGAAATACTTCACTGCACAGACTGACGTCGTTCCAAACTCTTGCCATTCGTTCCATCCCGTGTTTGATGATAATTCAGAGTTGAGTCCAAATTGTTCAAAATGGAAGAGAGGAAGTGCACATTGGTCTCGTGTCAATGACCGTGACACACGTTTGATTGATCATATTGCATATATTTCTGCAACTAGTCACTGGTTTATTCAAGGATTAAAGCGTTGGGAATGCGATGACCATGCAAGAAATTTTTCACCAGGCGACTTTTGGAAGATTTTTGTGCGCTAGATTTATATACTGAAAATTTACAACATAATCTCTGGTTTTAGCTAGATTTAGATTGTCGTCCATGTTATACAGTATACCTATCGATATGCTTGTTTTTCATCTGACGACGTTGGATGAACTTGACAAAGAATTTTGGTTGTTTCTAATGCAAATTTCATCCAAATAACGAAAATCTCTTTGTTCATTGAATCCCTGGTGATCGACTGCAAGCCCCCTATAAACGCGCACGCTTTATTAATTATTTAAGTAACTATTGCCTAAATAAATCACTTCAATCTTTGATCTTGCTGTGTAAGAATTTGAGTGTTTTATTATTGAAGTTGCCCAAAAAATACCTGCACTAACAAACTGGGGGAAAAAATATCCTGCCCCAGTATTTGGTGGGGAAAAAAATGTTGCAAAACAGCATGGTTGCAGTGATCGATTTGACCAGTACCAGAATATCAGCTAGCTTGATTTTCAAGGACTAGTGTAAGGTTAATTTCTTGTTGGAAAACTCCTCAAAATGCTGGAAATAGCTTATCTGAGCTTCAAGAAATCCAAAATTTTCTGGGGAGCATGCCCCCAGACCCCTCTAGAGTCTCGCACCTTCGGTTGCCGACTCGGTTGTCTCAGAATCCTAGTTATGGCCTGATTTTCTGCCCTATGACGTATACTAGCTTATTAGTTAAACCATGCATATATATGCTGATAGCTGCAGTGATGCAGGCCGATACAGATCTGCCGACTGGAACTTCTCCAGGTCCCCTACTAAATATGTCCCCTCCAGTTATACATCCTTAAAAGAGGCCCTGAACCAAATGTTATACCTCATAGCAATATGTATGATTAAAAGCAATGCATGAAGCTAGAAAACTCAACGTTAACTATAATTAAAGAATCTAAATAGTATAAGCTATTGAAAAAAATGCTGCGAAAGAGAGAGTGGCAAAAAATCGTACATGGTGATGGGATAGGAAAACAATCTTGCATATAACGATCCCAGAAAAAAATTCCCTGCCAGCAGTAAACCAACCCCCTCCTCCTCAAAAGTTGAATGGTCGGCCCCTAAGTGCAGAATTCGCAATTCGTAGATTTGGAAATCTAAATCAAGATTTTAAATGAGGCAAGGGAAGAACACCCTTTCTGAAAATCTTACCTTTGAAACAAATGGAATTATAATATATCGACTTTCTGCAGCCAAACTTCTTGGTGTTGCACTAGATGAAAATCTGACTTGGAGCAGCCGGCATAACGATAAATTGACAAAAAATTGTTCGTGGTATCGATTACAACGATTTTCGAATACATTTCATGCCTTCTATACAGCTCTAATACAGCCTCATTTTGACTGTCTACTGTGATATCGTCTGGAAGTCTATCAAAGAAGCTTCAGAAACATAGGCATCCGGGAGGGAAACAATTGGGGGTGGGGGTTGGGGGTGGGTAGAAAGATATTTGCCCGACGTCTTAGCATTTTGCCCGCCAGTTATCAAAAAAACTTTCCGTGTAAGCTTTCCAAAATTCTTGTCGATGGGCGGAGGGAGGAAGGGTAGTTGGAAATTTTTTCCAAGGGTTAGAAATTTTTGGAAACCGAAGTGTCAATTTTATACATTTATTAGACCTAATCAAGACCCAAGTTGCGAAAAATGCAACAGTAGAGCCCTCTGGTAAGAATTGAACCTGCGGCCTTGCCAAGCGACGTCAAACTCAAAAAGGTTGACGAGTTCTAAATATCTAACTATTCTTGTTTCTGGATGTATACTGTATCTATGCTCTAAATTTGTAAACCGTAGAACGATGTAACGTCTTACGCGCGTCGAGACTCCGTAAGCAGTTAAATTACACTATATCTTTAAGCCGGTTTTCCACTAGCGAATTGTTTGGCGCGAAGCGACTGTTTGCTTTTGTCCTTGAGCTTTCGGCTGGAACGATTTGCAACTATTTAGTTTTAAATCAAGACAAAAGAATAAAGACAATTCGCGCGAAAAAAATCGCTAGTGGAAAGCCGGCTTTAAGTGCTTTACACCGCATCGACTACCATGATTCTTCTTTTACGTTGGCTCGATACAGTTTTCAAAAAGTTCAGTTCTACAACAGTTTTGACATCTTTCAACTTCGTATTTTTACGCTTTATTTATAGCAAATATCGAGATGTTCCTATATTTTAATGTTTCTTCTTTCAATTTATGGTAGTTTTGGTAAAATATAGAGTAGTTGGTTCGGTGACCCCAATTTTTTTTAATGAACTATTTTACTTAACTGACATAGACTAACAGTGAGCACCATTTTCTTTAAAAACGCAAAAATGTCGTTTTCCCGATAAATAATGAAATATTACTGTTCGGAGTAGTCCGGATTTTCGGAACACTAATAGAATCGAACCGAAAACGGTCACATGACTGTTCTGACTGTTCTGATTGCCCCACTTGTTCTCAATTGAGAACACTTGGTATCACGCGTGGCAGACTATGATCTACGCTACCTGACTTTGAGGTGCATGTATGCTAAACGGCTGATATAGAATACATTATCTGACGTCCAATAAAGAATTAGCCTTTCTCACGCCGCCATTTTTGGGTGGCTTTTCAGCCGAAGTCTGCGAGATCAGTCCACATAACAGCGACTTTTTATAGTTTTTTTGACGAATGATGGTAAAGTTGCTTTGCAAATGGTTAGTTTATTTTAAAAAATTTCTTTTCACATCGTTTTAATTGTCTGCAATGGTTAACAAGAATTAAATGCCATCCAAAAATGGTGGATATTCGTCATCGTGAGAAAGGATAATTATTAATTCACAAAGTCATCTTAGAGACACATGCATGGAAGAGAAAATTAAATAAGCACATTTAACTCAAGTAATAAGTCACTTAAATCAGACTAGTATTACAGTCATTACACCAATGCAAATAATTCAAAAGACTTTGAAACTTAACATAATAACAATGGAGTAATAAGAAAGTAGAATAATTAATAAGAAAGTAGAATAATTTACATCCATGATTTCTGGCCACGGTCGAATTGGCTCGATGTGTTAGTATGGTTATCTCGGACGCCCACGTGTACCGTGTGCACAAGTAATTAGACAAAATGGGTTAGACAAAGCTGGAGGGATGCATTTCACATATAGGTTTTTGTGATTAACTATGTGTTGAAACTAAATGTTAAACAACAACAAAAAATCTTATGCCACGTATTTTTTCTAGTTATTTCATTAAGGTGGCAAAGTGCAGTTTAAAATATATTCATATAGATCAGACGCCATCCTCGCGACTCGTGCGTCGAATCTTCGCGGCCCGGCAGAAATTTTGAAATAAGTCGCGAGAATTTGTTTTTAGTTTTTATGCACAAAGAAAACGCCAGTCAGTTTTCATTGTTATCCTAAATTTCTCAAAACTCAAACAGTATGTATGTTATTAACAGGTTTTTAACTTATCTTTTAGTGTGTTTTTAAAACGGTATTTACGTTCGTTCAGTATTGTCGTTTATAAAGCTCAAAATTTCAGCAACAGTGTCGCGGACTTGGACTGAAATGATATTTTATTACTGTCTTCAAGGTACTCTTGAACTTTCACCGAAACTGATGTAATTCTACTCAATTCGTGATTCCCCTTATTACGTTTTCGTAGCGCTTTGCATTGTGGTTATAGTGGTATCACTGAGTGGTTTCGCGAATATTTTGCTGTTGGCTATCGCGCACCTGATCCTATAGCTTTTTGTATAAGTTCTTGCACGGGTAAGGACAAAAATATAAGCCATCTTGAATATCAGTGATACCACTATAACCACAATGCAAAGCGCTACGAAAACGTAATAAGGGGAATCACGAATTGACATGTAGACGTTTTATCTGCTGAATGTAATAAAACTACAGTGCAGACAGTGACGTCGAGTTGATTTATGTGAAAGCCAATTAACTTCTAGTTGAATGTTTTGAAAAGTTTTCACACCGATTTTCACGACAAAAGAACATTTATGAAACGCTGGATTAATTCAGTGCGTTATTGTGTTCTCAATATTTTGTATTTTGAACATATATCTTTTATGCTCATCTCAAATAAGTAAAAGTGAAAATTACTAAAAAAGCCAACTATAAACCACACACATTTCGTTCATTTCGTGTACAGATAGCCCATCCCAGGTCTTATTAAAGTTATGTACATGCAGTAGCACACTAAATACGTACATACGCCCTGATTCTAAAAACTCACTCACACTCAATGAGTGGAGGTTCAATCTGAGCTTCTCTCGAGTGTCATTGCTGTTTTTGAATAGCTGGAGGGTTAGTGTCGTACCTTACTATGTGACTACCCTCCAGCTATTCAAAAACAGCATTAATACTCAAAACAAGCTCAGATTGAACCTCCACTCATTGAGCGTGAGTGAGCTTTTAGAATACAGGCGAGAACTTCAATAAGACCTGGGATAGGCTACTGTGTTTCGTGTTGTTCACGCATTGTAATTTACACGCATGCGCAAATAGTGATCATGTCGAATCGATATTTTGTTACGCCAGCAGCTTCAACTGGACTTTAGCCGTTTAGGGCTATTTTTCTCGCCATTCCTTCGGTGAAATTTCGGACGATTAGTAAAACATCAAAATTTAAAGAAATTCTACAAGACATAAATCGGTAGTCGTTATTCACGAATATCCCGAAACTTGCCTTGTAAACCTAGCTCCCTTTAAATTTAATATGTTATTCCTCTATTAACTAAATCTTTTAAAAAAATTCAGAAAAATTGACCGAAGGAAATTAAAAAAGATAATGTCGTTTGACTGTGAAATTAGACGATAAAAGAGCAAAAGATAAAACGTCATTGTTGCCATGGGAACGCTAACAGTGTTCCTATTTGTTTGTATATCGACAGCACAATTAGACCACAGTTAATTAACTGTGATTAGACTTCTGAACTTTCTTGGAAATGATTGCTTTTCCTGGAAATGATTGCAGTATTGCCCTGCCTTAAGTGTTTTCAATATAAATTTGGTTGAAAGCGAAGATTACCTAAAATACTTAAAA